GACATAATTTTATCTCTAATGCAAAAATATCTACAAATATCTGCAGCTGTGTTAGCAATAAACTTACTTGTATGGCGTGAATTAATTATTCTATAAGCAATAATGCGCTTTTGCATTATCCACTCCTCATCTTTACAATGACTTGCAACAGTTAGATAATCACAGTCATTACCACTTCTACCAATATCAGTAGTAATAGCAATGCGACAAACTATATGAGTAAATAAATAGCGCAAATATTGTTCATATTCATGTTTATATTTATAAATATCGCTCTTTACGGTTGCGCGAGGCCATCTTGACGACCCAAAAGGGTCATCACCTGTTTTTAATTGAAATCTATGTCTTTGAGGCCCTGAAAACCTCATTTAGAGTTGCCTCGATTTGTGTGCGCAGTCCGAGCTCGTAGCCGGAAAGCTTAAATGTGAAATCTTGTGAAAATTGCTAAATTTTGACATCGAAATGAATAAATTTGACTTCGGTCAACATTTTAGGTAGACTCAAACCCATAATTTGACGATCCCGGAGGGTCCGTAGGAAAATATGGGACTCGGGCGTATACCCAGAATCGAATTCCGAGGTCCCCAGCCCGAGTTATGAATTTTTAAGTAAAATTGTTCTCTGAAAATGTTTAAAGAAAATGGAAATGAAATCTGATTAGAAAGCAATGGTATCGGGCCCGTATTTTGGTTCAGGTGTCCGGTACGAGTCTTATATATGTTTTGAATCACTCCTGTAAAGTTTGGTCAAAAAACGGACGTCGTTTGATGTGATCCAGACCCAAATTGGGAAAATTGATGTTTAAAAGGAAATTTGAGAAATGTCATGGATATTGAGGCTCAATTCGATGTTCATGATGTTATATTAGTGATGTGATCACACGAATATGTTCGTAGGGTGTTTTTGAGGTAGTATCCATGCTTGGTTTAGAGTTTCGAGGGCTCGGGTGAGTTTCTAGTAGGTTCTGGGATGCCTTAGGCTTTAGAAGATCAGATATTGCAGGTTCAGGAATTTTGACAGGTCTCTGAACCCTCTTGCGCGGTCCGCGAGCAATCAC